ATAAAAGTCTGGAGTGTGCTTATCATAGACGACGTCAAGCTTTTATCAGCCTCTTGTCCCAGCATGTCACAAGTGGATAATTCTCTTATGGCGCCTACAACAGCATAAGGTGAGGCTCCCACTGGAAAAGCAAGGCTTCTGACTTTAAAGCTGGCTGAAATTTACTCTCTTCTATTCTTCATTCTCCATTCTCCCATCTCCTTTTGTATCTCCTTGAGGCAAAAACCAAAGACATTGCCTTCTCATTCACACCTTGGGCTAGCTGCAGTAGGACTCCCTTTGACATTGGTCATTTGGAAATTTTGGTCTCTATAGGGAGCTGTGGCTATAGTAATGCATGCATTTTCTAACTTTCTCATCAGATGGAGGAATGAGTGTATACACCTGTTTAACTTCCAAGAGAGGAATGGGGTATACTTTTCTGGTAATTACTTCCCAATCACCTAGTTATACCCAGGAACTCCATTTCCCTTTTTTTTTTTAAGATTTGCACCTGAGCTAACAATTGTTGCCAATCTTTATTTTTTTCTTTTTATTCTTCTCCCCAAAGCTGCCCAGTACATAGTTGTAGATTCTAGTTGTGAGTGCTTGTGGCTGTGCTATGTGGGAAGCCGCCTCAGCATGGCCTGATGAGCAGTGCCATGTCCACGCCCAGGATCCGAAATGGCGAAACCCTGGGCCGCAGGAGTGGAGCACGCAAACTTAATCACTCAGCTATGGGGCCGGCCCCAAGAACTCCATTTCTAATGAAAAGGTTACACACATTATATGTCAACTTTTCTTTTTATATATTTTAATTTTCTAAAATATATAATGAATAAAGGAGGTTCCTGTACTGAAATATATTTTGTTTCCCTCTTCCTCCCATCTCTCTGTCTTTGTCTCTCTCTGTTGCTTCACATACACACTCACACAATCACACACACCAATACACCCATATATGTACATATACATTTTTATATACGATATAATAATTATATAGAGACATAATTTTATAATTACTAAAAACCAAAATTGACAATAATAGTAAATAAAAAGAAGAAAAGTCAGTCTGCAGTTAAGAAAATGCAAGCCACGGTAAAAAGTTCACTTCAATTATCTAGTCATTAATAATAGAGACAATGAAGCCGAGTTTAACCTTGATGACTAATAGGTAAAATGTCTAATTCCAGTAAAGAGAGAGTTTCTAATTTTCCGGGAACCTGAGGTCAGTCACAAACAATTCAAAGTCAGCTTTTAAGAGCAGATATTGGCAACTTACGGCATGATATCCATAAAGTTCATAACAAAACTATTTTTAACAACAATATAAGTAGAGTTGGGCAAATAAATCATCTTTAATTATGAACAATGGGATATATTACTTTAATCTTTCTTCTTTTCAGGTGTTCATTCTTCTCTTATTCCTGATAATTCTTACTACAATATTAATAGATAACAAAGGGTTTAAATGGTTATAAAGAGAAAATAGTAATAGTGATGATGATGATAATTGATTGTGACATAGTGATTTGTTATAATATATATTTGGGCCACAGTTCCTGACTGACAGTTCCTATAACCCTTAGAATTTCCTAAGCATTTTTGGATGGCACTTAAGGATGGGGCTGGTTGCCAGGAGAACCAACCATGTGATTAGAGGGTTAGAACTTTCAGCCCCACCCTGCTGACCTCTGAGAAGGAGAGCGGGGCTGGAGGTTGAATCAATCTCCAACAGCCAATGATTTAATCAATCATGCTTAAGTAATGAAGCCTCCATAAAAACCCAAAAGGACAGGGTTCAGAGAGAGCTTCTGGGTCGTGAATACATGGAGATTTGGGGAGAGTGGCACGCCCAGAGAGCATGGAATCTCCACACCCTTTCCCCATACCTTGCCCTATGCATCTCTTCCATCTGGCTTTTTCCGAGTTATATCCTCTCATCATAAACCTGTAAACCAGTAAGTAAAATATTTGAGTTCTGTGAGCCACTCTAGCAAATTAATCAAATCCAAGGAGGGGGTCATTGGAATCTCCAATTTATAGCTGGCCAGTCTGAAGAACAGGTGACAACCTGGGCCTGTGATTGGTGTCTAAAGCTGATTGGGGAGGGGCAGTCTTGCAGGGCTTTCATACAATTTTGAGGTCACTATACAGTCTGCTCAACACTTTGCATGCATCAGTTCGTATAATCACTAAATAAACTGTTTTATAAGTAGCACAAACAAGCTTTTTACCATAAAAGAGCCTTAGAGATAGACAATAACTTTCTTATATTGACCCAACTAAGACGTGATGGAGATGAAATTGAAAAAGGAAGGAGAAGGGCCGGCCCAGTGGCGCAGCGGTTAAGTGTGCACGTTCCACTTTGGCTGCCTGGGGTTCCCCGGTTGGGATCCGGGGTGCAGATATGGCACCACTTGGCAAGCCATTCTGCGGCAGGTGTCCCACATATAAAGTAGAGGAAGATGGACATGGATGTAAGCTCAGGGCCAGTCTTCCTCAGCAAAAAGAGGAGGATTGGTGGCAGATGTTAGCTCAGGGCCAATCTTCCTCAAAAAAAGAAGGAAAGAAAGAAAAGGAAAAGGAAGGAGAGAGGGAAGGAGAATGACATTAGTTTAGTGTTCACTATTTACTACATGCCAGACATGATTTCAGGGAAATTGTATATATTATTTTAATTTGAATCATCCCCCAAATTCTGCAAATAAGGAAACTTGCAGACGTTAAAGAGCTTGCTCAATTTCACAGAGCTAGTGGATGGCCCAGGAGGAATTTAAAACAAGAGTATTCTTATTCTGGAGCACATGCTAGGTTGTGAATCCACACAGGGAGTTTCTGGGCTAGTAGAGCACTTTGGGGTGCGAGACGGAAACCCTCCCTCAAGATCAAATGTTGAGCACTTCAGGCATGTTGAGACCAGGACAAAGGTGACTCGGCCAGTCCTACCTCCTTCCACTTCCCAACTGTGCATCTTTTGTCCATGAGGTTTCCCACACTTGGATATTCTGACTTTTGCTGTGCTCTTTCAAAAGTTATAACTTTGTTCTTTTTGGACCTTAGACACAGTTTGTTTAACATGTTGGAATAATCATGTATTCACACCTTGGCTCTACCAATTATTAGCTGTGTAAATATAAACAAGAAACTTACCTTCTCTGAGTCACTTATTTTCAGTAAAAAAAAAAAAAAAATAGTGCATAATTTTACTAAGAGGAGCTGAGAAAATAGTATGTGTGAGCACTTCTATTCTGCTCTAACTGCCATCATTTGTGACTAGGCTATGAAGAAACCCAGACTGAATGTGATACTTCAAGACAGAAATGGGGTGGGTTGCAATTAGAGCCACTCAGTGGGCTGGGTCAGATGTGGAGCGGAAGGATCAATATGCTGGTGCTGAATATGTCTATTCTTTTATGTAACGTGTCATGTCCAGAGAGCCAGACATTAGGACACGTTGCAGGTGAGCAGTGAGTGTTGCCATGGCATAGCCGAGAAGAATCAATGCGCTTGTCCTTACAAATGGGCAGAGCAGGAAACAGCGAATCCATTAACAAAAACAATTCTGTCCCTAGGAAGGTCAACATTAGTCATTATTAGAAAGGCTGTCTCCAAAAAGCAGGTGTCCCAGATGTCAGGCAGGGCTGAGTCTCAGAAGCAAAACTCCACATCCTGCTCCAGGCTGCTCAAGGAAGCCTCGCCAAAGAAAGGCAGGCTTCCAGTTCTTAGGGGGGCCGGGATCCCAGGTAACTGACCTGGATGGAGCTCGTGCATTAACTACATTTCTAGCTCTGTCAGTTTGATACTTTACGTCTACCTTACACACATATGCAGACAAGCCTTGTTCTAGACAACCCAAACTAAGCTTGAGTCGACCTACCTTAATCTTTTGCCTCTCTCATTGCTGTTCTCTCCCCCCCCCCCCCCCAAAGAGTCCTACTCCTGGGGGTATGCTTTCAGATATAAACTAACCAATACAGAGCCCACAACCCCAGTCACCCCTTGTATTGGTTCTCATACTCCAAGCCACTATACACTTGTCCTAATTACCCTGGGCCAGGTACCAGACAACTAGAGGCAATCCTATGTCCCAGAGCCCGCTGAAGTCATTCCAACTGACCAATCCTGAGCCTGTTTACCCTGTCTTCCCCATTCCTTCCCACAGCAACCTCAGTAAAGGCTCTTGCCCCCAGTTCCCCCACCTCCCTCTGCATCGTGACCAACCTGGAGCTTCCCTGTGTGCTTCCCGTGACATGGCATGCTACCCGTCTGGAGAACTGTGAGAAATAAACTATCTTTTCCATGGTAGTTGTTTCCTGATCTGTTGGCCTTACTGTACCTCAAATTGCCCATTAATATACTATATTTTAGAACAGATTCAGGTTCTGGAAACAAGAGAAAGGTCCAGTCCCCACAAATGGTGCATAAGGTGGGTCTGGGGAAGAAGGTGGGAGTCTAGTTTCCAGCACTGCCATCAAGAGCACCACCCTCCCCCTATGGTGAACATTAGCTGTAGGAACTGAAATGTGGGGTCAAGAGAACGTCATTTTGGGAGAGAAACTCTGGAGAGAAGTGTGACTCCTAAACTTTGAGGTGCATGAAAATCACCTATGGAGTTGCTTAAATAAGCAAACTGCGTGGCCCCACATTGAGAGAGAGATTTGTAGTCAGTCGATGTGGGGTGTGGCTTAGGAATCTGTATAGCTTAACGTAGTTCAAGGTCAGTTACACCCCACAATTCAAGGGCCATTGATGCGGGGCCTGACACCAACACTCGCGTCCTCAGTTCCTCATCCATAAATGAAGGTGGGAATTAGAAGACCCCTAAGAATCAAATACAACAAAAATATTTTCTTGGAATGAGTGCTGGCCAAGTATTTTTATGATCTTGGTGACTGCATTTTCTTTGTTGCATTTTCATTTTCTTTTCTCATGGTATATTTGTTCCATAGCAGTTTTGGAAAAAAATTTAACAATTTCCCAGCCCCACAGCAAAGGATACAAAAGAGAAACACACTTACAGTAGCCTGTTGTTTTTCTGCTTTATCAGCTGTCTCTTTAAGTTGAATTTGTAGGACATCCTGGAGAGACTTCATTTGTTCTCTAGTTTAGTAGAAAATAGAAAGCAAAAGAGAGACATGATATAATTCTGTTATTTCCTATGTACATTACAAAAGATTTGCTGTCTATGTACATTGAGGAAACAGGCAACTAGAATTGTATAGAGATACAATTGAGCTTATAGAATGTATCTCAGGATTCTGGTAATGAAGGGTTTTCTCTCCTGTGCAAGTACTAAAAGCAAGCCGTATTTAAAGGAAATCGCCTTGCTATTGTGTCTTGTAAGAATCCCACTGTGTCAATCATCTGTGAGCTGCATAATGTGTTAATCAAATCACTATAATAATTAGAGTTGAAAAGCTAATTCTAGTGACAGCATGCCAGGGTGTGAACATGCTGCTTAGAAAAAGTCACCATAGACTTGCTGATAGGATAAATTACCATTCCCTTTGGACGTTCCTAATTGATTAATCCTAAAGCATTGTGCTTTAGACATGCTTTATAAGGCCTGAGACTTTTTGTAAAACAGAGAAAAGAGACTTATTTCTAACTTGAGGGCTGCCTCATTTACTGGGGATAAGAAAAGAAATACACGTCTGCACATATATCCGCATTGTGTCTCAAGCTCGCTAATATATATGGAACCTCTCTCACCTGTTCAAAATACAAATATTTCCATAAAACTGCACCTCTCTCAAGGGTTTAGGATTTACTAACTTATGACAAATCATATTAGCTTTCTTTGCCTTCATTTTATCACCTAAGCTATCATTTCAAAAAGTTCAGATATCAGATAAGGGTTAGTGTGCAAGTGAGTGTGTGCGTGAGTGCGTGTGTGTCTGTCAGTTCTGGCTGAAGTAATAAATTCCTTCAAAGCAACAGCAACAACCAAACAGAAGCCTTTTCTAGTCATACCAGCACCCAAACTAATTTAAAATTACAAATCTGGTGCCAAAAGGCTACCTCTGGAACTTGGGTGCGTAACCACAATACAGAGACAAGAGGCTAAGAGAGCACCCTCTCAGACTCATGGTCTTCATCTATAAAATGGGCACAATGACACAACTACCTCATAGGTTTGTAGCGAGGTTTAGATGATACAATGTAGGCAAAATGCTTGGCAAAATGCTTAGCACAGTGCCTGGAAAATAATCACTTAATACATACGAGGTCTTTGTCACAACCATGAGCCCCACTTTGGGTCCCTACGTTCATTCTTTGACCACCACATCCTGCACAACTGCAAGCTGCTCCTTCATGCAAGGGGTGCCTCCAGATTTTGTACTCTAGAAATGCTTAGGTCTCCACCTCCACTTCAGGAATGTCAATGAGACTTTGTATGACTGTTGGAATCAATTTGGACTTTGTTTGTTGAAGCAAAACATAATTGGAACAAGTTATGAAATAATTACAGTCACTTTGGTTCTTTGGTGATTTATGCTTGCTGGGGTGAAGCTTACAGTATGCTTTTGCTTAAAGTGGATTTCAAGTTTCAGCTTCTGTTACTGCCTCACACAGGCTTCATTAATCAGAATTGCTTCATATATGGACCCTTAAAATCTGGGCTTTGATTACTGTTTCTGATGCTTTCCACAAAGAGCACTTGTGGTATAATAAAATGTAAGAGTACTATCTACATACATTGTAGGCTTACAATATGCCAGCCACTCTTGTAAATTTTGCATCAAATTTTGATATCATAAAACAGAAAGAAAACTGATGCATAGAGAGGTGGTGGCATTGTGTTCTGGAGCCTATGTGCCCAAAGCCCAGAGTCACTATTCTACCTCTACTGAGAGAGAGAGAGAAAGGAATGACCTACATGTCATCGCTAACACTCAAATCTTCACAAGCGCTGAATGAAAACACAGTCAAACATGATATTTACAACTGAAAAAAGTTATAATAAAATCTTATAATAATTAATTATTATTTTTGGATTTTAAAAGTTTTTCCTCTTTAAAATGATACATATGTTTTTAAATTAGGTTATAAAATATTATGTTGTATACAAATTAAAATGAGCATATATATATTCAAAAATTCTCACTTACTGACATCTATAGGCAATGTAGGGAGTAAGACAAAAATAAACCATAAAAGCTGTTAATAATCGGAGAAGGTAGAGAATTCTGGACATTTCCAGGGCAAGGAAAGCTGTCAGACAGAATGGCAAAGTGGGCATTTTGAATCTGCTGACTCTCCCCATCTTCTCTTCTGCCTTCCAGGCTTATTTCTGCACATTCTCATTGCTCTCGTGCTTTACGTGGCCCCAAATGTCTTTCACAGACTTGCTAAGTCATGCTCCCACGAGAGCTGATTGCTGACTCACTTATGTACCACCCTCTCTGCCAAGTGGACATGCTCAGACTATGGCTAGCTACTCTAGGGCCCTATTTGGTACTGAACTGAAGCTTTGATTCTGAAGCATTGATGGCTCCAGTGACACACGCGATACGTTGTTCAGGTGTTAAGTGATTTTAGCACAGAATTTCATGGTTACGAGGGATTTTAAAGGTCAGCTATTTCACACCTCTTGCATCTCAAATTATAAATATAAAAACACGCTCACCCAAATCACTCTACAGGAAGGCATTTTTTTCAAGTGCTTACCAGCTTGTATTGTAATAACATCACAGATGGAGAACTTGCCACCATCCCAGGCATTTTTTTCATTTTCAGAGAACGCTATATTGTAAAATCCTTTAGTACACAGAGTCCAAAATTGCCTTCTAGGAATCTCCACCCACCAACCACCACAGGGAATAAAATGTTTTATTCCTTTTTTCTCAAGACAGCCTTTCAGCCACTTCAAAGGACTCTCCTTTCCCCAGAGTCTCTACTATGCGGTCACACACTCTCGCTCCTCACATAGTGTGGTTCAGAAGTCTCTGCATCAACCTGGGGACTCTTCTGAGAACACTGTCTAGGCTGTCTAAACATTTCTGAAAATGTAACGCTCCCGAGTCAATACAACTTTCTCTGTCTCTCTCACATAAAAACATACACACGCACACACACATACACACACACACTCCTGTCTCTGTCTCTCTTGGACAGCAAGGCACTCTCTGCTCCCTCCAACTGGTTGTTTATGGCCACCCTATTGTCTCTGAGTTTACTTACGTACAATCTGGTTCCAGCTACCCAGAGAGACTGGTCAGTTGCCTCTTGTTTACAATTCCAAGAAGGAAACTCTAATTGATCCAGTTTTGTTTTGGTGGCCACCTCTGAGCCAATTAACGGTGGCCAGTAGTGTCAGAGTCAAATAAATAAAGTATGACTTTTAGGGACCATTCCTCCAGGGAAGGGTCAGGTAGCAAGTATCCCAGAAGACAAGGGGTTATTGGGAGCCACATGGATAGCCAAATGGCATCTACAACACATCACAATCTCTCAGACTCAGACAATCCTCTAAATCTGCAGTTAATATTTTTTATATTCCAAGATGATATTTTTTCTCTTTTACTGTTTATTAATGTCGTTCATTTTGGAAATGACATACTCAGCCTTCTTCACATTCAGATAACCATGATTTTTATACATCTCTAAGTAAGCAGCAGAAACTAATATTATGTCAAATGTCATGTCCTCTTCAGAAATTGTTAGAATTTATTGAATTTTCCATTCTGACTTTACTTTTGTACTTTATACAAGTTATGCATTTTAAACAAATTTTCTAATTTTGATAAAACTTTGAAATGGCAGTACAAAAACATCTGCTCCATTTAATCTCTTAATTGAAAGGCTTGGTCCTCATCCAGTCATTTGTATACCATACCAAATGTGTAGATGATGATCTGAGATTCTTAATAGACCCAACCACGATTTTTCTGATTTGCCTGGGGATTTTGTGCGTCATGTAGGAAGAGCCATGGATAAGTTATATAAACAACAGCAAAGTAAAGGAGTTGGCTTTTCCTTATCCACATTGTGGATAATGATGGGTTCTCTATTGCTTATGCTGAAGCCCACGCTGAGCCACCCCATACGAGTTTTAATCTCTGGTCCCAGTCCATGCATACAGCTCTATTTTCTGCTCTTCCCTGAGTCACTCTGTCCTCTTCTGTCACTACCACCCTCTCACTGTGCTGCACATGCATTGTGCAGAAGTCATTTCTGTTTTCGTATTTTTGTTTATTATCCTTTCCCAACAGGGAATCTTGTACAAAAAGTAATAAGGGGCAGTATGTCTCAGTTTGTTTTGACCAGTTATTTCTATTCAAAATGCTGCTGACAATTGTCCAACACTAACTCAATGAACCACAAATACTTGTGTGATATTGAGCATAGGTACTTTAAAAGGTGGCTTATGTCAAGCTCATACAATCATTTAAACTGATGTAATTTTGGGAACATGCTCAGACCAATATTTTATACAAGCTCTTTTTAATATTAGACTTTGTAAAGAATTTCATGGTCAAGAGATAATGATTTCATTTAAATAACAAAAAGACAATATAGAACACTCGATTATGTTTTTAACTAGTCGTAAACTCAATCAAATTTGTCAGTGAGAGGTTTCTGGGTCCAAGAGCCAAGGACAGCGGAGAAGATACAAGATGGTGAGAAGGTACTACATAGAGCAACACGTGTAAACTTTGTAACAGCTTTGAGCTTTGTGATTAGTGAACCAACCTGACATGGGGTGGCTATTGAGTGAGACTCCGCAGAACAAATTCCAATTAACACAACTCTCAGCAACTCATTTCAGCACTTTGAGCAACAATTTCCTCTCTATTAACCAGGGATAATATCTACCTCATAAGGTGATGAGGCTGAAACAAGAAAATATATATAAAGCATCTAGCAGAGCCTCTGGCAAAGGTACAACAAATGCTAGCGTGTTTCTACCTTAAAATACTTTTTTCCTTTGAGAAGCAATTTCAAATCAAATAGCTTTTTATACTGCATAGAAATCTATCTCATAATGCACTTCCTTCAAAAATAAACAAGCCAATACTAATAACATTGTACTAATTCTACTTAAGTTGTTAATAAGGTTCCTCCATTCCTTACCACCCCCACCATTATCACCATGATCAAGTTTTGATACCATTCAAAATGACCCAGTGAAGTCAATGTTTTTGAGCCTAATAATGGGCAGACTTATTCAGGTCGCTCTTACTAAGACAATGGAGGAGAATACTGCAGATCCTTAAACACTGGAATTGTGATCTACAGACCAGCAGCATCAGCAGCTCCATCACCAGGCAACTTGCTAGAAATGCAGACTCCCTGGCCCCACGCTAGGTTTACTGTATAAGAATCTGCCCTTGAACAAGATTCTCGCACATTCGGGTGTAGCTAATAAAATAATGCATTTAGAACGAACTGCTTCCTGTGAAGTTCCTGAATAGAGCTTGACATTATGGGGAAAAAAAAGAACAGAGAAAATAAAAGGAAAGCAGTCTTACCTTTGTTTCTGACCTATTTCCAGAAGCATCTGAACATCACTTTGGGCAGATTTCTCAACGTTTTTCAAAGACTGATAAGAAAAGTGGGAAAAGGACGTCTTATTCAAGTGATAAATTGAGGCTCACTTTACTTTTGTCTCTTTGGCACAGGTGTCACTGCATTTAGGCCCTGGAGCAAGAAGGCAAATGAAGCCATCATGGTCCTCGGGGCTCTAAGGATGCACAGAGGAGTTTGTAACACCAACTAGTGCGTGTGCTACACAGCAGGTGAAAGAATGAGCTGAGTCTCAGCCTTTAGTGGTCTGATGGAGGAGAAAGTGCTCTCCAAATACCCCAGCCTCTTTATAAGTGAGTATAGAATACGTCTTCTGCTCTTCATTTGAAGTTTTACTGTGTTCTCTACAGGCATGTTAGTTAAACCAGCTCTGGCATCGTTTCTACAAACACAGGGGGACTTAAAAGGCCCCCCTGAATAATCTAAGTAATAACACAATTCAGATCAAAGCAACTAAAAAGCATGCACCTGCTTGGTCACGTCTATTTATTATTGATGAGTAACACACAGAATACACAGAAAAACTAAAGCATGTAAAATTGTAACTGGTCTATCCAGACAGGGCATTAAGAAAAGAATATGCCACCTCGGTCTTCAGTGTTTATTTACTCTAGCAAATTCAGCATTTGCCGCCCATGAATTAAAACAGAAAAGTCCACTGAGTTTTTCTCATTAGAGAATCTATCCCAGTAAGTCTTCCCCAAGGACTTCCTTATTTTCACTCAATAAACTATTTAACAGGGTAAGCTGTCTTTCTTGGTATTAAAAGTTGAAACTGAGAGGCAATAATATTGTCTGTAGGAAGAGCAGCTGTGACAGGTAGAGAATTGACAATAGCAGCAACAGCAAACACTTGGTTTACTTAATATTTATTTAACAAACATCTATGGTGAATTACGCAAAGACCTGTGCAAAAGCGTGGGGTCTGCCTTCACACATTTTCCAGTCTAATGCTAAAAACAGACAATTTTCTTCTAGTAAGATAAGCATTCTGATAGGGATGTCATGGGCCAAGCTTCATAGGAGAAACTTCTCCCCTACAATGACTGACTGAGGTTATTATTAGGAAACAGGCAATAAAAAGTGTCCCCTTATTTGGAACAAGTGGCTTCACATAACATACAAAGAAAGCAGGAGGAGGAATTAAACTGGGGGGAACGTCACCAATCAAGGGATTTACAGCTCAAAGTGCATCATGGCCATACGACCTGGGGCAGGTCACAAATTCCGCCCTTTGACTCCCTTATCTGAAAACCAGGGGTGAGACTCTTGGAAAGCCTACTTTAGACAGTTGTTGGAAAACTCAAACGGGATGATAGATGTGTGAAAGCACTTGGTGAAAAGTGCAAGAAGAATATGCTCCCTCCTTTACTGACCATCTGCTACACACTAGGCAGTCTGAAGGAAAGCAAGATTAAAAAGGCAGGGGACTGTCCTCAAGAAATTTAAAATCAAAAAAATAAAAACAAAACATGAGATGAAGAAATGAAAAGAGTAGATATGCAGGTGGGGCCTGCAAAGTGCATCCAATTAGAGGAGCTGGAGTGTTCTTGACCATTACTTCTCAGCAATGTCCAGGAAAGTGGGGTCTGCTTCTTGGAAAATAATTTTAATGCCTTTAAGGGATACCTATCATTAATATACCTACTGATTAATCAACATAATGCTTATTGATTGACCTATATTACCATGCCACCCAAGTTCTAGGGTTACAGAGATGGACACGACTTTCAAAACTCATGTCTTTGTGAAATACCATTGGAAAAAAGAATAAGTACAATGGGCTATATAGTTATTTACTATGAATTTGAAACCCGGAACCACCATTTATTAGATGTATAACTTTGGGCAATTCCTGTGGCCTATTTGGGTCTTATTTCCTCGTTTTACAATGAGTAAAATATTATCTTAATTTTGAGGAGAGGTCGCTAAGAGGATTTAATAAGATAAAAAATGAAAAACACTGCACAGTGGCTGGGACAAAATAAACAAAAGGCATTTTAAAAATTGCAACTACATTTAATGGTGGGATTGTTACCCTCTCAAAAAGTGTGACTCCATGAAATTATATATTTGTATGATGCAATTTTCTAGACTGTAATTAGATGTCTTAACGTAGGCTACTGGTACAGAGAGACTGAGTGTCCTGGGAATATTGTAAATACTGACCACTCACGGGCACTTCACCATACACTTGAAATATATTCAATGTGCCAGGCATTCCATGCCTCTGAGAAGGTGTAGGTGTCTTAAATATTTTTCACAGCCTCATATAAGTGGTGAATTTCTACTTAATGGTAAGGTGCAGTTGTGGCATCAGCTTCCTGTGGAAATCAGTATGCACCCATTTCACTCTCATCAGTGTGTCCCTAATACTCTGTGCATACTTCCGTCACAGCACTGTTATTCCTGCATTGTTATCATTCTGCTACCTCTCACTGTGTCCTACTGGAACAAGGGTGATTTTTTTTTTTGCTATTTCCATGTTCTCAAGATGTAACACATTTCTGGAACAAGAGCTTGGGCATTGGGTTCAAATATCAGATCTGCTGCCTAATTCTCTCTGTGCTCTTAGTTTCTTAACCTTTCTCTAACTGTTTTTCTCACCTATAAAATGGAACTAATAACAACCAGAGCCTAATGAACATGGTTCAGAAATACGGTTCAGAGCAATAACTAATAGACAGGCTCTGGAGCGAGAATGCCTGAAGTTGAGTCCTGGCTTCCTTTGTGACATTCAAAAGTAACATCTTTTTTAAGCATAATTCCTTATGTGTAACAAGAAAAGTCATGTTAACAATACCTAACTTATAGATGCATTATGAGAATTAAATCCTGTAGTACATGCAAAGCTTTTAGTACACAGTATGAACTCAATAAATACAATGTTAAAGCCAAATATTAAAATACATTCTCCAATATTTCAGAAAGATTTTCTCATCAGATATAGATCTTGTCTTTGGTTTTTGATTGAGATTTCACCGAGTGCTACACATTTTCACAGATGACACCCACTTTTGTAAGGCATTTACCCATTTTGGTAATGAAGTTTACTAAAGAATTTTGAGAACTATCCTTTGTAGAATTTAAAGTTGTCTTCTAGAGATCATTTCTATATTCATTTAACTCAGTCATAATTACATTTCATCACTTCGTGATATAAGAAACACCGGGGTCAAATTGATCTTACAAGCTGTGAGAAATTGATGGCTTTGCCAAGCACGCAATTTTCTCATTCCTGAATTTGCAAACCACAGATTCCCAGACTGCATTTCAAAAGACATTTCTTTTCAAAGTTCATATAATAATAAATAATAACTCCCATGGTCAAGTCCAGAAACATATTCAAATCTGGTAAAAAATGCAGGGGTCTTTACATGTTAAACCACCGAGACAAACCAGGTGCCTTCTCCTCCTTTGCTGCTGGGAAAATCGGGTTTGCTCTCACCTGAAGGTTGTCTTTAATTCTATCAAGTTCTCTTGCTGTCTTTGTCAGCTGATAGAGGATGGTGCTTCGCTCCTTAAAGACTTCTTTCAGCTGCCTTTCCAGCTCTTCATAGTCCTGTCTAACACAGGAAGAAAAGCCATGAGAGCCCCAGAACGCTTCCACTCGGCTTCCATCACTTTAGTAAGAATCCCATGCCCTTGTGTTTAAAGCAAAATCCATTCAAAATTCATTTTGCATTGAGGACTATCCAGGCTACAGAGAGGTTCCAGAACATTTTGTACATCGTCTACATGTATAACGTAGTTTGTCAGGTAGCTCTTGGAAAATAGATATTTTCCAATGATATCACCACACTTTTTTCCAAGGTCCTTGAAGTTTTACAGGGAGAGATATGATTTGAACCAATGCAGCTCAGAGGCATAGAGAGTTTCTGACATTGGGGGAATAAACGTGGGGGTATAGCCAGGCTTGGTGGTAGAGAAAGAAAAAAAAAAGTCTAGGGGTTAAGATTCAGCCCTCTCACCACTGTGGTCTGAATTCATTTCCGAGTCAGGGAACCACACCACCCATCTGTCAAATGTCACACTGTGGTGGCTGCCTGTTGCTGTGATGCTGAAAGCTATGCCACAGGTATTTCAATTACCAGCAGGGTCACCCATGGTGGACAGGTTTCAGCAGAGCTTCCGGACTAAGAGAGACTAGGAAGAAGGATCTGGCCACTCACTTGGGAGAAAACTGGCCGTGGAAATCCTATGAATAGCAGGGGAGCATTGTGTGATACAGCTCCATCCGGGGAGAGGACGGTGCAGGAGGACTGGGCAGGGTTCCGTTCTGCTGTCTACAGGGTAGCTAGGAGTCGGAATCAGCTCGCCAGGACTAACAACAAAAAATGGGAGAACAGCATGTAGGGGTCTTGCTTCATCCATGGCTTGAATGGAAAGAAACCCATGGAAAAGACACCTCTTGCCAAACATGTCTAAGAATCTCTACTGCTAATTGGAAGAAGCAAAATATCCATGAAAATCAGTCAATAAATACAATAATTACAGTGAAATTTGAACAGACTTGTTAATTACCATAAAAGAAAGTGTTATCTATCTCAGTATCATATATATACGCATACATTTTTTTTCCCATTTTTTCTCATATGGTCTTTGCAAGAAGATAAGACAGGTGTTATAATTCTCATTTTGAAAATATAAAAGAATTGGATTCAGAAAGATTAAACTACTACCCTAAGGTCCTATTCAAGGAATGAACGAGCAAGTAGCGTGTATATTTGTGTGTGTGTGTTTATATGTGTTATGGCCAGTGTGCGTGTGTAGCGGGGGATGTAGTCAAGAAAAGTGCTAATTGCCAATGCAGACTAGAACTATGACTCATAGGCGAAGTTTAAAAAGATTGATTGGAGCACATAGGAGAGTTGCTAATCCAGGGAAGATTTTCTGGAAAACGTATTATAAACTATATAAGATGCACTTTGAAAGGCTAGCAGAAATTAGCCATTTGAGAGGGGAAAGCATGTGTAAATACTAATGAAAATGAGTTTATTGAATTAAAAGAAAAAAGAAGTGCAGACACGTGAGAAGGTTTGGAGTCCTAATTGGACTGTGGGAGATTTGCTGCTGAAATGAGGACGTGGGAAGCCAGAGCAAAGGCATGCAGGCCCTGTAACGGGTGAGGAGCTGGGGATTGTTCTGAACACAAGGGGAAGTAACTGAAGGTTTGACACGGGGAGGGACGTGATCAGATTATGTTTTTGAAAGATTTCCCTGGCTAAAAACTGGTGAGTGAATTGGAAGAGGGAAAAATCTGGAGAAAGGGAGGCTAGTAAGGAAGACACCATGGCAACAATCCAGGGAGAAGATGGTAGAGGCCCAAATTAGATTAAAAGCAGTGGAGACAGGGAAGCTTGGGTTGATTTCAGCAAAACATGCAAAATTGAATCAATAATATATTCTTGAAAAAATTTCTTGTGTTTGTGAGGAAAGATTGGGAGGGCGTTAGTTATTAGTGATGCCATGTTTCCTGCTTAGGTGACTATGGACACAGCCCTTCACCGAGAGAGAAGTCACAGGATGAACAGTTTTTAATGAAAGTTGTTGACAAGTTCAGTTTTAAACTTGTAGGAAAATGGCTCAAGCTCTCTCTAGTTTCTTTATCTGTAAAATGCAATACTAACACTGACCTCACTCAGGTTATGTGTTAAATGGAGCAATTTATGTAAAGTTTCAAACCCATAGTAGGTAATTAATCTAAAAAGTATATAAAATTTCTACTACTGAGAAAGTTGATAAATTTTAGGTCTTTCTGTGGAATTATAAAGGAACCGGGCCTACCAACAGCCTTAGAGATGATTAATAAACGCATGACACCTACAATAGGTTTCTATCGCAGTTCTTTGCTTTTCCTCATTTTTGAAGCGGAGGTCTTCAGCACTCTTCACATTCCTCTTGTTTGAAGGGAACTGGAACGCCCCACTGCTGCGAACCTCAATATTTCTCCCTGGCCTTTAGGTCTTCACTGATGAGCGCTCATCAGCCAGGAATCAGACAGTTATTAACGCCCCAGATTTCCTTTCTGTCTCACTAGCAAAGTCAAATAAGGAACAGGAAGGCACATTTTCATCTGCTTCTAATGATACGACTTCACTTCATGTGTCAATTTGTTTCTCCCGAATGTTTGTGACAATAAACACATCTCCAAAATTATCTTAAGTGACCATAAGGTCACAATGTTAGATAACATACGCTGACAATGTATTGCATGCAAGATGCTGTTATATACACTTACTCAGCTAAGCTTCAGACAGTTCTATGGGGGAAGCGCTGGCGTTCCCTCCACTTTCCAGCTGAAGAAATTGAGTCGCAGGGGGAGTACAGTCGTCCCCCCCTTATCCAGAGGGGATACGCTCCACGATCCCCGTGGGTGCCTGAACCACGGAGAGTGCCGAACCCTATATATACTGCGTTTTTTCCTAAACATACATATCTATGGTAAAGTTTAATTTATAAATTAGGCACAGTAAGAGATTAACAGCAATAACTAATAATAAAGTTGGCTTTGGGGCCATTATTAAGTAAAACAAGAGCTTCTTGAACACAAGCAGTGCGATACTGTGACAGTGGATCTGATAACCAAGACAGGCAGGGCGGAGCAGGACAGCCCGAGACTTCATCAAACTACTCAGAACGGTGCTCAATTTAAAACTTATGAATTATTTCTGGAATTTTCCATTTAATATTTTCAGACTGTGGTTGACTGCTGGTACCTGAAACCTCTAAACTGCAGATAAGAGGGGACTACCGTGACTTGTAAGAACATATTTCTATTAAGAAAGTGGTATATCAAATCAGCATCCAGAGTCCAATGTCTTTGCCATTCGGCTGTAAGAACATACTGGCTTGGCTAGAGTTTAGCACAGTTAAATGTTCACTGTGCCCATCACAGAATTAACGGCGTATCACTTCTTCCTTCATTGTTACACAGATAAGTTTTCTGTATTGGATTTATTTGCCATTTATTATTTTCCACTATATAAAACTATGAATTTCCTTTTTTATTATTTATAATCATCTTTTATTTCATTATCACACTTAGCTTTCAAATAACTTTATAAGGAAAGAAGAATCAATTGAAATCCCTCTATTTTCTGGTAAATACACTGAAAGGATATCCATAAAGATGATATAATTTATCAGGAAAATATAGCCAGAAGTGTTAATTAAGAGCACCACTCTAAATTCAACCATTCAAAGTCCTTATAAAAAGGGAAACCAGGTTACTCTGTAGAAGCAACCTTAATGGAAGCATTTTACCAGATTCTCTTGCATTTACAAGTGAGTGCACATTCATCTTCCAATACGTGTTATTTTTTGCCATAACATAATATATGTGTATATATATGATCCCCCTACAGTCATGTTCTGCAACTGCCTTGTACATCTTGGAGCTCTTTCCATGTCTACACATGTTAAAATTCATTATGAATGTACTTGAATATATTTTACCACTGGACATTGAGGGTGTTTTCAATTTTTCTTTCTCTCTTAAAAAATGGTGAAATCCATACATGTGGGTACAAATATATTTTCTTGAAAATTTCTGTGACATATGTTCCTGGAAGTGGAAATATCTCACTCCAAAGGTAACGTTGATGTTGATAGGTGATAGTAAATTGCCTTCCCATAAGCTCTTCTAGCCTACTTCTCTTATCAGTCTGTTCTGATATTCTTCTCCACACATTCACCTGAACTGGAAATTGTCTTGCTCTTTTATTTAATATTTTTTAATGGCATGAGTGGAAAATGACAGCTTCTTTCTGATACAATTTCCATTCACTTCATTAGAAAGATTGATTATATTTTCATAACTTTAATCACAATTTGCATTTGTTCCTCTGTCAATTATCTGTGTGTGCCTTTTACCCATTTATATTTTGGGTGAGTCATTGTATTAGTTCACTAGGGCTGCTAACAAGCTATCACAGAATGGATGGCTCGACTGAGGATATCTGCATATTATTTTTCTGTAAAGGTCTGCCAATGCAAACTAAGATAATAGCCCAAGGCCCTGTGGACGTGGACATGTGGCGGAATTTGTTCCATGCCCCTATGTTAAGATGTCTAGAAAAGTGTCTTGAAGGGAAGGAGGGTCTCTCATAGAAATATTGTCAAGGATCGAGGTATTGCAAACCTTTTGGCAAGATTATTTTCAACTGACAATATACAACTTTTCTCTCACCAATCCTGCACCTGGGAATCTATCCATAGAAATAAAATTTCTAGCCCTTAAGAGCATAAGTTTAAGGCAACATTAATCATAGACAAACATCTGGAAATAAAATAAGAGATTTGAATAAATTATTCAGTTACAAACACTGACAAAGACTCTCTCCTTTGCCAAACTTCCATCCTTTCTCAAGGAGGCTTCACCCTTGGCATAAGTCCTTATCAGACCTGCAGCACCTGGTTGCAGCAAGATCTTCCTAAATCAGTTTAGCCAGAACTGCCGCCCACCATATCTGATCATCTTTGACACCTTATCAAATTCTTTATTCCCCACCATTCCCCCGTGACATCTCATCATCTTGCACTGCTTTCAGCAAGAATTCTGTCA